AAAATGATTGTAATTTAAATTTTTCGATTTTGGTCGCTTGTAACACTAACAATTTTCTTCGAAATTGGCAAAGTAATATATTTTTGTAAGAGGACTGTAGGTCGCTTATGTTGATTGGATAATTTTTTCATGAGATATTGACGAATAGGTTCGAAATGTACCAAAAACACGTTTTTCGAAAAAATTACGAAAACGCTTGTTTGAAAGGAAAATTGGCTTGGAAAATATTTTTTTTCTTAAGCGATTACCACAAAATTTGTAGAACAGTGTTATCGATATATTTGATGCTGGTCTTCAATTTCTCGTCATCCATTGTCCATAACCGTACAATATTTAGAACGCATTGACTAGTTGAACCTTCAAAACCAGCTTACCCTTATGTAGTTATCAATTAGTTATCGACACTGCTTTTATTTCGATTAGGAAAAGTTAATTTTAAAATATCGAAGAAAATGCGAGACAAAGGCAGGACACTTGGAAAAAATCAGTACATTTTGGGGGTTTTCTGTTTTGAAAAACTACGCAGGACAGACCTTTAAATAACAGTACGGTCCTGCAAAAAACAGAACGGATGGTCACCGTATATATAGTATATACATACATACACATTTAAATTTATTAGTACGCAAGGGAATAAAGTAGCTTGCTCTATGCCGGCCGAGAGCGATTACCTTTCGTCATGAAATTACTAATGAAATTGCATCAGCTTGCAAGCGCACTGAGCGTGAGCGGCTTGGCCCCAAACATTTCATATGGGTATACCAATCGCTGCTACAGATTGCATTGCAATTTACAGGCGTAGCTGACGGGCAGCAAACAGACAGAAGAGACAGTCAAACATTATGCAGATACAAACATATATTTATGTATGTATGTACGAGCATATTGCTATATCTAAATGCATGCAAAAGTATGTACATATATTGTAATAAATCGAATATCGATCGTCAGCACACGATCGTTTAATGCTTGGAGTCGAAAGACAGCAAACGAGCTTGCCAACCAACCCATTCAGTGGATCCCATTTCAAAGCGTCACTGCCGTAAGAAAATATCTATGCATATATGTATGTACGTACATTAGAGTCGTCCAAAAATTGTAAAGTCGGAATTTTAATGCCGCCACCCCCTGGGATTGTTCTGTACCGAAAAAATTATACCCTTATTTTTCTACCCGAGCGCACTTGTGCACAAGGGTATTATAACTTTGTTCACATAACGGTTGTTTGTAACAGGCAAAACGATTCGAGATAGATATAGACAAATATATACATAAATTATCAGAATTAAAAAATAAATCGATTAAGCGGTGACTGTCTGTCCGTCGGTGCACACGATATACGAATACGAAAGCTTCGATGAATCAGTAAATACTGAATCTAATTTATTCAAAATTGATGTTTGCAATAATTATTTAGCAAAAAATACGCTTATATTAAAATTTTTTGACCCCGCCTTTTTATGACCACATATGTGTATCTCGGTAACCGTTCGATCAATTTATACCAAACTCAGTACGATTATTGTGTTTGCCCCATAAAGGCAAAACGTTGAAAATTATTGAAATGTGACTAAAATTACGTCCAATTTTCTATAACGGTAAATTTCAGAAATGCTTGAAACTTGAATGTTTTGAAATTTAAGTACGCTAATTTTACCCAAAATTGATACTAACAACAATCCCTTGAAAAGAAGTAACATTATTATGGAATTTGGGAAATAGGCGTCATGCCGCCCACATATATCTATATAAGTATATCTCATTATATCTAACTGAACGTTCTATCGAAGATGTTTAAAATAGACGTAAAAACACCCCTGTTTACCACGAAGCGGTAGTTTTCGGAAAGGTGAAACAACTTTATTAAATACTTGCACCGGGTATTTAATGTTCGGCTCCGCCCGAACTTATACTTGGTTCACATATAAGTAGATTATCCTCATGTTCGAGCTTAACACCCTAATCTGTAATTATAACAAGAGATTAGCCATATAAAATTCGTCGCTTGTTAATCTGTAATTATAAAATAATGTCAGATTTAACCGATAATTTTTCGGTGTCCACTTTAGTTTTATCGATTGTTTTTGCGAAAGAGAGGAGAAATGCCAAATGTAAAAATAAACAAAAATGTACGCTAGCAAGTAAAAGAGGTTTGTAAAGGTATTTTTAATAAAAGTCCTCCATGTATTTTACATGGAGAAAAAAAACTTTTCGTAGAAATGTTATAAAATTCTTGAAAATCAATATTTTTCGATCGGAAAACTGTGGTTCTCTTAAGGAGTCTTCTAATATTAATATCAAATTGTTTATTAAACCACTTTTTTATGCTAAAGATTTTTTATTGGTCCCCCCATTGCATTTTCTAGGGGTCTGGGCGGACCAATAAAATGTAGTTACCATGAAAAAGTGGGTAAAGAAACAATTGAGTATTATTATTGGAAATCTCCTAGAGAAAAACAGAGTTTTCCGATCGAAAAGTATTGATTTTCAAGAATTCTACACCATTTTAACGAAAAGTTTTTTTCCCATATAGAGTACATGGAAAACTTTGAGCGCTTTGAGCACTCCCTAATTTTTTTTTTCTAAATAAAAAATAGGGGTATATTTTTTCGGCATAGAACAATCCTAGGGGGGCGGCATTAAAATTCCGACATTAACTTTTTCACATGCATTTTTGGACTACCCTAATGTACATGCATAAAACAAAATCTATGCAGACGTCGGCGAAATTACA